TTTTTTTGCTTTTTTTTATGGCCATGACATACTATTTTGGAGTTAAAAGGCACACAATTTTTTAGTTTTTTGTGGGGAGGAAGTGGGGAGGGGAAGGGGGAAAGGGGGGGGGGGGGGGGTGGAGGTGACAGTCAGAATTTTATTTAAATTGTGCCCCCCCCCCCCCCCATTAAAAAAAATCCAGGGTTAGCCCCTGGTACATGTAAGTAGACCAATGGAAATGGAATCTTATGCACTGCCACAAAATCACTTTAACTACAGAATGAAGCCTGAGGGTAAAGACTACCTGACTGTCAAACTGATCCCCTAATAAGGACGTCAAACTTGACCTTTCCCCCTTAAAATACCTGTCATTTCGAGCTCACATTCTGTTGACAATAACTAAAGAGCACACACTCCAGGACTACTCAAAAACATGAGTAAATGCTTGATCAAAATTGTTCTGTTAGGCTCCCTACCTAGACGTGAGAAGTAGATTGCTGCATTTGACATCCATCACGTGAAAAGTATTCATGGTCATTCTATTTTCCGTATTAAATCTTCCATCTAAAAGTATTCAACAAAGGCCCTAATTCAACCAGTCCACTTTTCATTCTTGAGTTACAAAAAACTTCATATCTACTGTATCTGCCATATACATTTCTCTCTCTCTCTCTCTCTCTCTCTTCCTTTCCAACCTTTTTTTTTCAGACTTCGGATATAATGTTGATCTATTCAACTTATTTCCTCTTCATTTTTCCTCTCTGTAGTCAATTTCTTTTTACGTATAGCCTAGATATAGCCTAGACCAACACAGCAGATACAATTCATTCATTTTGGGTCGTCCAAGATTTTTTTCCAAGAATTGAAAAAAAATATATCAATCACTTTCATTATGCATACAACAATTGAATCTGCAACTTACTGTGGACAGCATTTGAAGGTCAACTTTTGTGATCAATAAACAATGTTTATATTTCTCACATCACAAAGCTGCTCATATAGCATCAGACAATGAACCACAACCGTTTGACTTTCATGGATGTCTTGACAATGTTGGTCATTAACTCTTTGATGGACACTCTGATGGTCAAGCCTTTGTTATTTCATAGGACCAGAGTCAATAGGCTGGACAAACACATAATGAGAGGTCATTCTTTTTCCTTCTGTCAACAAGTTTACTTTTATGACAAGGAACTTATTCAAGTAGAATCTTGAGATTAAATCTGGGTACACCTAACATAGGTACAGGTATCCTACATGTATCTCAAACCGTATTGATTTGATTACAAAAAGTAAAGTGGGCTTGAGACTAACAGGTGCCCAGGACAATCTTAGTTTGGACCCCCAAAATTCAATTTATTTTGCATGGGGCTCATGCATAGAGACTCTAAATTAATTTAATCCGCATCCCCTTCCTAAAAAGTTAGTGTGGACTCTGTGTAGCACTAAATAGAGAAATATGTTTTATAAAAGGAGAAACTAAATAAGAAAAGTAGTGGAATACTAAGAATATTGAATGAGTTGGTACAGGAAAATCAAGTAAGCAAATACGGACCCCATCCCGGCCCAACAAGAAAAAAGTTTGTGTAGACTCTGTGGAGCCGTAAATAGAGAAAAATGTTTAATAAAAGGAGAAAATAAAACAAGAACACAAGAATTTTATATTAAAGGGCAAGTTCAGTCACAAAACAAAAGCAGAATTATAAAAACAGGTTTTGAAAAGGTTCCAAGCTAAAATAAAATCATAAAGTTATAAATACTGACATGTCATGAAGATTGGTGCTGAGGACAAACTGACAATTTGTCATGAGAATGTAGAGTCACTATGTCAATATAAAATACATTAAAAATAACCATTCTATTGACATTGAAGGAGACTGTAAAATAACCTCTCCATGAAATGTAGGCTGTTGTTCACAGTATCTTCTTTACAAAATACAGACCTGAACTAATACCTCAGACACATCAACAAGACCAACAACATACAAAACAAAACAAATCTTTTTATCCAGGATTGGAAGGAGCTATTTGGTTGGGAGTATAGGTTTGGGTTCACTTTGGTGGTGTGACTGACGGATATCTCTCTGGTTGACAAGAACTACCTGCAATAGACACAATAACAAATCCCACCAAATCTTTTTTTCTTTATCGAGAAGGGAAAGACGTGACAGAAAGCACAACAAGGGAGGGGTCTATATCTAAAGAAGACTTTGGAATGTGATAATGTGCTCCTGTAATCATCATTTTCTGCTTTTCAGCTTGATAATCACGTCATGACTAGTCCACTGCTTTAAGCTTGCATGCCCCATAGTGCAATTAATTAGTGGAGACATTGCGCTCTGTGTAGTATGCATTTAAAGGTAAAGACCAGTAATGGTCATGCGATTGCATTGTGAAAGAAACGTTGTGGAATCGATCAGAAAAGGTTGATCATCTAGCATCTAGCATCTGCAAGGTTCTGGAATCATCAAAATGACAAGAAATTTGGCCCATTCTTCGTAAAGTTACAAGCACTATACACAGAAAGATGTATATGGGACTACCCTATATCTCTCACAGACCATGAGAGAAACAAATTTACCAAATATATGAATTAGTAGGCGGTTTCCTGGCAAATTTTTTATCATCATGTATTAGTCAAAACATATTCTTTCACATGATTGGTAATGAGAGCTTCCATTTCATTTTTTGAAATTGGGGCGTTTCCAATACTGGTCTTTACCTTTAAGGAAGGGTTAAAATAGATGATTTAAAAAAAATTAAAAATAAAAACTGACTGAATCTGGACTATTCATGATAATGCCCTATTCTTTCTGTTGTTTGTGACAATGGCTGGACCCATGTTGTGACACTATGGCTCATTGATATGATAGTCATGCTAATCTACAACTTCAAAATGTGAAGTAAATAAAGAACTCAGTGAAATGTGGGGCAAAAACAAATAAACAAACAAACAAACAAACTTAAACAAACACATATCACTGGATTGAGGTGTCATATGAAAGAGCAGAAAATGAACTTTAAAGAAATGTGAATTTTTCTTCGAAATTCAGATACCGCCTGCCAAATGACTTTTTGGTTTCCTTCCTTCAAATTGCTTTTAATCACTCATGCGTGAAATATGCATCATATGAGTTGCATCAAATGAAAGAGGAGGATCTACATGTAAGCTTTACAAATATGTGTCATTAATTAATTATAATTGTGATTAAGTTATGATAAAACATCGATAAATACTCGGTTTAGTTTTTTCTGGGTTGCACTGTATATCTCTTTTCCAAAAAATGATATAGAAACCATTCATTAGCCTAATCAAGAAAGTTAGGTTATGTACCTGTACCACTTGATAATACTACTATTATTGTTCTGCCTCTAATTTCTGTGAATTTCACCACTTTGGGGATAAATATTATTATACTATTATACTATTAAATCGGATCATTTCCAAAAATAAGATCTAGTTATAAATATTAGGATCATGTATAAACAATTAGAACAGAAGACAAGCAAAATATACATGAATAAAAATCACAGCATAAGGCCAAATAAAATGTGTTTAAAAAAAAAAAAAAAAAAAGTTCTAGGAAAAGAAAAAAAAAAATGGAGGCGGCCCCCAAAAAGGAAGAGGGCGGGGACGCTAAACATGATTTTTGTTGTTGTTGTTGAAATGGCCTAACAAGCAAAACATATAAAATCAAGATAGACTAAAAGCAAGGCAAAGCACCACAATACATTTAGATGACTCAGTACAAATCTTCCTGTAATACTTTTTTTTTCTTCAAATCAATTCAAAGTTTATTCAACACTTCTAATCCTATTGAAAAGTATTGTGGGATTATCTGCTATAACAAAACTAAGAGTCTTTTGATGATAGTCATTCACACTCAATTGATTCAAGTCATTCTCATCCTTTCAGCTCAATTGACTGCATCGGATTAAGCACGTGCATGAATGAAACTGTGTAAACCTTAAAGTTAGGAAAGGTGGCTAAACAATTTTCTGTTAACCGCTTACCCAAACTGTTAGTTCACCAGTCCTAAACGAAAAAGATGGGTGAACAAGTTTGTTTGAGAAACCTGCTAATTAAGTGGAAATTTAAGATCGACTCTCCAAGAAATTTCCTGAAACATCCCTTCAAGTCTTTCTTTTGTACAGTTGGAGACATGCAGGGAATGGAGCACCACAAGAAGTATAACCACATCCAATTATGTTTTAAAAAAGTAACAAGAATCTCTTCATGCTCTTTCTTTAAATTTAACAGGAGTATATGTGAGATGGATCGACACAGGTAGGAAAAAATGCAACAGATGATATTTGGGCCTACTTTAACTCGCCAATTCTTTTCAATGATTTTCAGATTGATTAATACCTAATAAAGTAACTTTCATTTTCACTTATAAATACTTAGATAGTAGGATGCCAAACTATCTGTCTGCATGTATACATTCTTGAACAGCTTAATTTCCACAAATCCAAAAGACTTCTAGGCGCCAAATCAGGGAGTATTACCAGTATTATATAACCACTAAGATTAATTGTTAAATCACATAAGCTCATCACAGGATACGATTCATTAATGCCACAGTTCTTGAGACTGCTTTCCTTTTTACATTTGTCAGTCACTTGACTTAATTGTTTGAAATAAAACATTTTCTTTCCAAAGCACTTTTCTATATTGAATTTTAAAATGTTATATTGATGCACCTGTAATTCCTGTATAAATCAGTGTTACCCTCAACATGTTTATCCAATATTCACTAGTGGCCATACTAATAAATTCAGATCCTGGTCTTGTTCTTAGTCTTAGCATTGGTCTAATTATAAAGGAAATGGTCTTGGTCTGAGAGCCCATGGCCTATGTGTTAAGTATTATATAAGTTCTCTGGGTCTTGAGCTTGATTTTGCTCATACTAGTTTTTGTCATTAATTGGTCTTAGTATCAGTCCTCTGGTTCTAGACTCTAGAGCTTGATTTTGGTCTTGGTCTTGTTATTAGTCGGTTTTCTAAACCCCCTTGCTCTAGGTATCCGTCCTGTTGGTATAGAGCTTGATGTTTGTATTGGCCTGTTGGTTAGGCCACTTTTGGGACCTGGTCTTGAATGGACCTGGTCTCGACTCAGAGATCAAAAGGAGATGCTGGTATTGACTGCTTAAAATCCTCCAGGCAACCTAAAGGGTGTGACTTTATTGCCCACCTAGCAACTATTACATTCCGCATTAGAATTTATTTCATCTAAATGACCATCAAACATTGCCATTGGCTACTTAACCGATCGTCTAGTTGGCAAATAAAAGCTAGCAAATGCAGATAAAATAAATTAGTGAGAAATCTGACACAGTTTACCATGGCAGACAAAAAGTCAGAATGAAGGACAAAACCTCTATACAGACTTTATACAGAGGTGTCTGAAATCACATGCATGGACATAGTTCCCTGGTGAGACTATTATCATAATATAATAGAACGGTGTTACAACAGAAATGATTCATTTTTCAGATTCTGTCTATCATGGAACTCTGATTCATAACAAACAAAGCTTGTTGAAGGTACAGCTCTATGGTCATGGTCACAATTGAATAGGACCCAAAGATTAAATACATACTGCCTCGTTTGCCATGAGGGGAAATATCAACAGCTTTGACACTACATCAGCATCTATACAGCCAGAGCAAATATTTGAATTGCAATTGAGCACCAGCCTTGGACAGACAATGTGATATATTGATACGGATATAGATGATATAGTTTACATGTACTATACACATGAGTGGGGATTCAATACAGAGAAATCTTGTAACTAAAATATTTGAATCACAATTCATCCAAATATGAATGACATAAAAAGCGCAATAGGATGATTGTCATGTGTAAGAAATATCTACATGTGTATATACGGATCCGGGCTAACTCGGACCAGGGGACAACTCGGCCCAGCTGCAAAAACAGTCATTTTTTGTCATTTTACCCTAACTCTAACCCTAACTCTAACCCTAACCCTAACCCTAACCCTAACCCTAACCCTAACCCTAAACCTAACCTTAAACCTAAACATGCAAAAACTGACCGTTTTTGTACCTGGGCTGAGTTGTCCCCTGGTCCGAGTTAGCCCGACTCCGTATATACATGTATGTGCGTTTACTCCACATTTTGTTCTACATCCTATAAAACATACAAACTTAAATAAAAACATAAATGTTTAGAATGAAGAGGAGCTAAACACATCTGTGTGAATAATGACATATATCATATTTTTCTGTTTTTAATTCCGTTTCAGAAAAATGTATTAAGTCAAAACTAATTAGTTTCCTATACATCTTGTACTTGTAAAAGTATAAACATATAGGCATCTCGATAATAACACAAAGTCAGTGACTTATACATTTCTGCATGGAATATTACATCTTGCTTCATTTTTCAATCTTATACATTTGCATGAGGCCAACACCAGAATCTCCAAAAATGAAGGAGTGAAACAGTGAAACAGCGAGAGAGAGAGAGAGAGAGAGAGAGAGAGAGAGAGAGAAGGAGAGAGAGAGAGAGAAGGAGAGACATGGCAGAAAGGAGAGAGAGAGAGAGGGGGAGAAACAACAATATTTAGGGAGAGGTGTGGCAGTCTAAAGGAGGAAGAAATTAATTATGAGTTACATAAGTGAGGTGAATGATATACATAATCTTCTGTTCTGTTATGTCACTTAAACATAAACAAAATGACAGAATAGAGATAGGAGGGAAAGAGTTGAGGATATACATGTAGAGGGAAGGGGGCAGAAGGAGAGAGGGTAAGAGGGAGAGAGACAGAGAGAGAAAGAGACAGAGATAGAAAGAGACAGAGACAGAGATAGAAAGAGACAGAGAGAGAGAGAGAGAGAGAGGGGGGGGGGGGGGATGGGGAGAAAGAGGAAGAAGAGGGGTATAAGAAACTAAGAATGCATTATGAGAGATAAGAGTGTTGTGGTATGGCCCACAAGCCCTCTCTCACTAGAACTACAAGTTCTAACTGTTTAAGACAGTTATATCACTCATTCAAAGTTTAAATAAATATCAAAATGAGCAATCATAATATAGTGAATGAGCATATTATGATATTTTAAATAGTATTGAAATAACCCAAGTCTTACATTTGATGAAGACTGAATAGTGAGTGATGTAGACCGTTTATAAAAACTTCTTTACGGTTTCAAACTTACCTAATGTAGTCCAAATTCTGTATTCCTGCTCTAAACCATCCTTCATAAAATGCACAAACAGAATGCTTCCATAGACTGCTATCAATCAAACAACATTAGCACATGTTCTTGAAAATGTCTAGAGGACACAGCATGATATTACCATGTACACTCCAGCACAGACTCCACTTGGACTGATCATGGAGGGATCTACAGGCACATTGGTCCTTGGTATACGAGCGATTGGTAACTGAGGGGCAAAATATGTCCTTACCCAACTCTGACTGGAGTGAAAAGAGAGGAAAATTGTTTACAGGGTTAGCCTGCCTTCCAGGTGTTGATATTAAACTGAACTCATCTTAAGTTCTGTATATAAAACTTGCATTTCAAGAGAACATTACAGTAATACACGATACAAAGTAGTTTGCATGACATTAGATGGGTTGTTTAGACCAACAATATATCTGTTTAAAGAAACCACTAGAAACTTCCTGGAAGTTTCATGGCACTGAGAATTAACTTACAACTGCAAATACATTCAGTCCATGCGTTACAAACTTGGAACTATTAGCATGATTTTCATAAGTTCCTTTGCTCATTATATATTCAGCCACTAGAAAGTTCCCATAAAAATTATTTGAAATGCATAAATATGTAGTTTTGAACACTAAGTATGATGGTTGATTATGTGAAAGTTAATGTTTCATCTTAAACAATTCATAACTCTCTTGGAAAAAAAGGTACAGGTATCCATGTATCAGAAAGGCGCATCACTTTTAGATGTCTAAACCAACATACAAATGAGGAGTATGCAACACGGAAAAAACAATTCAAAATGTTATTCTATATGTACCTGGCACTGAGGCTAATCACTCCAAAACTATGCGAGTTGAGTTGATATGGTCGAGTGTTCATTTCTCACTCATTCTATTGAAATTGCAGAAGCAGAGACATGATGTACTTTGCCTCAGTGGTTTTGAATTATCTGTGGTTTACTAAATTCCATGTGGGAATGCAGGTCCTAGAATTGCCTAAACCACAATATGTCATTTTTGCAATGCTATACTGTGAATTCATCAAATCAGTGTATATATACAGAACTCAGAAGAGAAATAAATTCTTTTTGGTCACACTTTTCTGCCTAAACCTACTAACTATTGATGATTCAAGTAAACTTCCTTTGGTATTTAATAAAGTGTTTTATAGACAGAATGACAGAAAAGGGTTTATATGCACTAGCAAAATAAACAGACATGATTTGTAGATTTTACCCAAAGGTTACATCAAAACATGACAACCAAACATACATGTTGAAGTATTTTTCAATGTAATATAATTATTCTGAGGATAAACCCTGACAAGTTACTCTGCTTTTGTCTCCCCCTCTCCCCCTCCCCCCTCCCCCCTCCCCACTCCCCATACTGGTTTATCACTTTACTGATATTTCCCCCTTTGTCCATTACTTGTTGTTTTTTCCAATTTGTATTGTATAATGTACCACTATTTCGTCTTTGCATATTTTTAACTGGAATTTGGAAAATAAAGAAATGAAATTAAGGTTTTATAAGAACATGTAAGTACTTATAACAGTACGGCTTGGATGTTGGGCAGAACAACACCTTGAGCGATCGCCACCCCACCCAAAAACTTGTATTTCTTCGTCATTAGAGCCCCTCTAAAGTTTTGGGATCCCCAAGGGAAATCCAAAAAGTGGCCACTATAGACAGGTGGTCTTTCTAGTTCTTCTTCAAGACGTGTTTCCTCGTAGTAGAGGGAAGTAATATACTGACCACTTAGGCAGGTGGGCTATATAGTGAGATACCGGCTAAGACAGGTTCAACTGTACAATACAATCAATCATGGGATGAAATTCAAAGGTATCCCAATCATTTCTCGATCGATCAAACACATCTTAATCTTAACCAAAATACACCCTTCCCTTGAGAAAGGTTCTTATTCACAAAGAGGTGCTAAAAATGTCCATGAAGCCTCCCAAGGAAACAATAGAAGACTGCCAGTTAATGGGGTTGTTTTGATGTTCCCATTGTTGTCATCAACAATGTCCTTTCACGCCTTCTTGAATCTATCAATGGCAGAAAGGTGTCTAGCAAGTATAGAGATCAAAGACTGCATGTGCCAGACATTTTTACATTTCCAGAAAGGATTTTGTTTCCCTCCTTCATTACCCATTATATTCCTTCTCCTGTTCCCCTCCTGCTCCTCTCTCTTCTCTTCCTACCCCTCCTCCGTTTTCTCCTCCTCCTCTTTGTTCTCCTTCCCCTCCTTTTCTCCTCCTCCTTCTTCTTCTTCTTCTTTTTTCCACTTCTACTTCTTTTCTATCTCCTCCTCCTCTTCCTCCTCCTCCTTCTCCTTCTAATCCTCCTACTCCTCCTCCTTATCCTGGTATCAATCTCTTACGTTGTATGTTCCATGTCAAATTCAACCCTGAATATGAAATGACCCAGATCTCGATAGGGTTTGCAAACAAAACCTTCTGTATTTCATCAGTAGTATTCAGTACAAGTAACAAAACAGAAAAATGCCTAGGATATTTCAAAAATGCATGCTTTTCAGCCTACTCATTGCATGCTTTGAATCAAGTATAAAGGAAATAGACTGTGATATATACATTATGAATAGTAACCTATTCACAGTCTGTTTTTATATCCTTCCTGGCTTTCATACACACAACGTATTTGATCACAATATTGATGCAACCATCAGTCTGGAACACTGCTGTTACAAAAATATTTTTAACAACAAACAGGATGTCAAATAGTCACAACTCTGTGTACAATATTTTTCGAGTCTTTCTCTCTTTCTTTCTCTATCTCTCTCTCTCTCTCTCTTTCTCTTAGAACTTTTCTGTCACTCTCTACTTTCTAAAACTCAATTACTTAATCAATTTGATCTCATCTTGCTTTCTCTTGGTCTCTCTTTCCTTCTAGTTGTCTTTCTATCTACCCCTCTCTGTCTCTCTCACACACCACTTTGCGTGAGATCTTTTTCGATAGCTATATGTTTATTCCAGTTTCCCCTTCTCCTTCCTTTTCTCTTTCTTTTTGGTCTAATTTATTTTTTCCCTCCCCTGTCTCCCATCTTATCAATCTTTCCATATTTCTCCCGTCCTCTTTATCTCTCTATCTCTCTCCTTTCTTTTTTTCTCTTCTACTCTTTTTCAACTTTCCCCTCTCTCTCAGCTTTCTCAAACTCAATTTCTTGATCTCATCTTGCTTTCTCTCAGCCTCTCTTCCCTCTACCGGTATTCCTCTTTTGATATTTATCTCTACCCATCCCTCTCCTCTTTCTCTCTCTCTCTCTCATTCTCTTGTTTTCATATTCTGTACGTTCATCTAGGAACATTCAACATCCACCTATTCCTTCACTTTTTAACAAATCATATGAATCTATTTATATACAAAATCATCAGTAAACTCCCTGGAAATATTTGTTTTGAATAGCTTGTTAAATACTGCCAATTCTTTTTAAAGTACTGTGCTATGAAAGGCAATGGCGTCATTTTCAAAACGGGCAAAGATAACTTCTCCAAACTACCGGTTCCTTTTCGCCAAGTACTACATCTCTACCATGAAACAAACAAACAAACAAACAAATAAAATATCTTAGAATTGGAATACACAGCTGGTCCTGCATTGCAGGCCAATCAAGTCCAACTATGGTTTTTCATACCGCTTCAAATTAATTGCGCTCACTCGACACCCAAATCGCCTACAGAGAACGCATTAAATCAACTAATAACAAGATTGAACTACTTGTGTTCATTTCCTTGGAATTCTGAAAATGTTTATTTCCTTCCAAAGGCATTTCTCCTGGCTCCCGGCATGGGGCAATTGAGTTTGGTATCGGATTCAGACCAGATGAAGTCAACTAGGATAGGCCGGAGCTCAAATACAGCAGCGGTCATTTAACCAGAGTTCGCTGAGAGTGAACTTTCCTATGACGGAAACCAGCTCCAAGCAATGATGGAAATTTTCACAGCCGCTCGAACTAGCTTCACGGTACCTTTCAAGAAATCCTTCTCATTTTGAACCTTGACTACATTTAGGCATGAAAGGCAAGGTCCAGGGGTTTTCATCTCAAAGACTCCTGACTTCATCAAATATTTCAGTATTTGATTGTATCAATTAAGTTAAGATCAGAAGAAAAAAGGTATCAAGAATATTAACACTTTTGATAAACTTTTATCATTATTCCATGATAGGTGGTAGCATATATGGAACTTCAAATGGTGGCCAGATGGGAGGCCAGGGAAGGGGGGGGGGTGGGGGATGCATACCTATTTTTTTTCCTTTGGGATCGAGCTTTGATAGGTTTGAAAAAAAATACCCCATGACTGACAATCAGTGGTTTGATCTGGGTTTTTTTTTTTTTTTGGGGGGGGGGGAGGGCATGGGTGGCCAGCGGAAGCAGGGGGAGGCACATCTCCAACTAGTCAAACCTGTCTCAGTGGTCACCTGTCTAAAAAGGCCACTTTCTATGTTCCCCTTGGGTGGCCCTCATAAACATGTTGGACGTATACGATCAACTATGTTTGAAGAATGAACTCAAGGGCAAGTACCCTATTGTATGTCCCATAGAAATCATCTTCGGATTACATAAAACGTCATTGTTGCGTTTGCACGTTTAAAAAGGTTATGCAAAAGGCCGTTGAAATTGTGTTGATAATTTAAAAGATAAAGACCAGTTATGGTCATGCGATTGCATTGTAAAAGAAATGTTGTGGAATCGATCAGAAAAGTTTGGTCATCTAGCATGTAAGTATTGGTGTGTAGGCCTACTGGAAGGTTCTGGAATCATCAAAATGATAATAAATCTGGCCCAGTCTTGGTAAAGTTACAAGCACTGTACACAGAAAGATGTATATGGGACTACGCAACACGTGCACGACATATGCGTTATATCTATCAGGTCCAAATAGATATCATATTTTACCAAATATAACAATTAGTAGGCGGTTTCTCTACAAAATTTGTATCATTACGTATTAGTCAAAACATATTCTTTCACATGATTGGTAATAAAAGCATCCATTTCATTTTTTGAGAGGGGGGGGGGGGCATTTCCAAAACTGGTCTATACCTTTAAAGTAGTTGCAATAATGTTGACATTACTTTTTCCCTTCTGAAGGTTCACTTAGATTTGATGCATGACACCTTGTGACTGAGTAACCCATCCTCTCCCATGACTAGCTCACTACTTACTCTGATCTTTCTACATGTACTCCTTTAGACCCCCCCCCCCCCCCCCCGGTGCCCCTCCCATCAAACTTTTTTGATGTAGCCATGTAGTATGTACATCACTGCCTGGTTTGAAACTGGTATTTGATTTTGAATTGAATTGAATTGAATTGGTTTGGTTTATTGAGAAATCACATCAAACAAGCAGCTCGCAGGCTGAAAATGTTCAATTTACAAACAAGTTAAAAACATAGAGAGATATAAACATATACAAAACTAAAATACATATTGTAAGTCATTGTAAGATGAAGTCGAAATCGCAAAACAAAGTTATAGAGTAATGTAATAATATACTTTCATGTCGAAGAACCAAGACGGTAGGGAGGAGAGAATGGAGAAGAAAAAAGGAAGTTGTTTGACCGAAAGAGTTGAGAAAGTATTTAACAATTGCTAAACAAACATTTCTATTACAAAAAATGAAATTAAGCATTAAAAAAAACCCTATTGGATGGGATGAAATTAAACCGTAAAAGTCAAAATGACAGTCTCTATTCCGTTTTCCCCTTTAATATAAATGTAATGACAGCATTCATCTAGATCGAGAAAGTTGTTCAAATAAAATTAAAATGAGTATTTACATAACAATATCACAATATAGTGTAATTTCGAATTAGATATTGCACATTACTTTGGAAAAAAAGACCCAAGTCAAATAATTGGCAAGGGCATGAATTTGTATTAAAAAGAATATATAAAAGAAGGGAACACTAAAGGCCTAATGAAACAACGGATTAAAATATGTTTACAGTTTTAGGCAGTCTGAGAGTAAATTGGATAAAAGTGTATATTGCAAACGTGTTATTATACCGGTTTGTTTAAAACCAAATATCTATTAATATGCATGAGAATAAGAAAGTTATTGTCTAAAAAAAAATAGTACAGAGTGTATTTAACAATTGCTATTGTTAATTGTAATGACATCATTCATCTGAAACAAGAAAAAATTGATATTTGAATAACAATATTACATAATTTCGTATAAGATATTGCACATTATATTATAGATAAAAAGCACAACATTAATATTTAGCAAGAGCATACAATTGAAGTTTTTAAAAAAAGGAACACTAATGAATTAATAAAATAATGAAACGATTTATAGATTCTCGTTAAGCAGTCTTATTGCAGAGGGCATTGTTGACGAGCGATTTTGACAGGATTCATTTAGAGAACCTTTTTGACCTAGATGATTATGTTCCAATTTCCACTTCATAATTAAATTACGAAATTAACATTTTCAGTGTCATGGAATCTGGACCTTCAATACAATCTTCACCACCCCAGCCCCCCCCCCCCCCTTCTCCCCTATGGCCCTATACCTAGAGCATAGGCTAGAGAATGAAAAATCTTGGCATGAAAAATATTTATACCATGTTAGTCAAATCATTGCAACATAGCCTCATATAACTTCTAAACATCTACACCACTCAGCCGATAAACAATGCGGACATTCTACAACCTTTCCCATTCCCATTTTTCATGTACGCTTTATTTTTTGTCGCAAGACAGCCAACCTACAGAGTACTACGCCGCGGCGGCCGGCGAGTCTCTCGCTCGCGATCTGGCACAGAGACTGAAGAGGGATTCTATATTTACCACACAATACAGACAAAGCAGTCCATTTTCCTTTTGGTCTCATAACTCCTATTAAGATAAATTTCTTTTAAAAAACACAGTATGTTCATGAATTCAATACTAATAAGACGTTTTTTCTTACCTAAAGAAGTATGTATCTTCCTTTCCAAGTACGATGTAGTGCGCAAGAGAAAATGTTGCGCTTTAAAATTAAACTTCGTAGACGCAAAGAAAGATACCAGCACTCTTTGGTAGATGTATGTACTTTTGGCAATATTTTGGCATGAAATCTTCGTCGTAATGGATCATTCATATATATCGATGGATGGATGGGTAGAAGGAAGGATCGACGCAAGGATATAGATGGATAAGTGGACGGATGGATGGGTGCACAGGTGCCGGGGGGGGGGGGGGGGGGGTACTCGCCAAATACGGTATATGGGGATGTGCCGCCCTACAGTGGGTTACTTTTTTGCAGAAAATCCCTAAACATGGGATGTGATTTTGTGCTGCAATATCCAAAGGTGCCTCCAGTTGTCAGATCTTGGGTTACTGTTTTCTTCAGGAAAACATCTCACCCATAATCTCGCTTAAAGCCCCTCTGCACTAGTTTGGCCAGGAAGGATTATACCTCCCACCATGGTCACCGACAGGTGCTTATTTCATCAAATCAGCTCTCAATTAACATAAGAAAACGGGGATCACGGGGACCAATGGTTACCGCTTAGGCAATGTATGCTATATAGAGGGCGCAATTATATATAAGTAGTGCAGTGGGGCTCTAAGTAAAAACTCTAGATGCAAAACCCCGCAAAAATAATTGAAATCATTTCGCTTTTTCATCCAAAGTCCCGCACACTCCCGTCAAAACCAAATCTGACTACCCCCCCCCCCCCCCCGCCCGGATGGATGGATGGATAGATGGGTGGATGGATGGATGGATAGATGGATGGATGGAGTGAATGGGTGGATGGGTGGATGGACGGATGGGTGGATGGATGGATGGATGGAGTGGATGGGTGGATGGGTGGATGGATGGATGGTTGAGTGGGTGGATGGGTGGGTGGGTGGGTGGATGCGTGGGTGGCTGGGTGGATGGGTGGATGGATGAATGAATGGATGGATGGATGAATGATCGGGTGGATGGGTGGATTGGTGGATTGGTGGATGGGTGGATGGGTGGATTGGTGGATGGGTGGATGGATGGGTGGATGGATGGGTGGATGGATGGGTGGGTGGGTGGGTGGATGGATGTGTGGGTGGGTAGGTGGAGAATGGGTGGATGGGTAGGTGGATAATGGATGGATGGGTGGATGGATGAATGATCGGGTGGATGGATGGAGTGGATGGGTGGATGGGTAGATGGGTGGGTGGGTGGATGGGTGGGTGGATGAATGGATGGGTGGATGGATGGGTGGATGGGTGGATGGATGAATGGATGGATGGATGAATGATCGGGTGGGTGGGTGGATGGATGGATAGATGGATGGATGGATGGGTGGATGGGTGGATGGGTGGGTGGATGAATGGATGGGTGGATGGATGGGTGGATGGGTGGATGGATGAATGGATGGATGGATGAATGATCGGGTGGGTGGGTGGATGGATGGATGGGTGGATGGGTGGGTGGGTGGATGGGTGGGTGGGTGGGTGGATGGATGGATGGGTGGGTGGGTGGGTGGATCGGTGGGTGGGTGGATGGGTGGGTGAGTGGGTGGGTGGATGGGTGGGTGAGTGGGTGGATAGATGGATGGATGGATGAATGGATGGGTGGGTGGGTGGGTGGGTTGGTGGATGGATGGATGGATGGGTGGATGGGTGGGTGGATGGATGGGTGGGTGAGTGGGTGGATAGATGGATGGATGGATGGATGAATGGATGGGTGGGTTGGTGAATGGGTGGGTGGGTGGATGGATGGATGTATAGTTGGGCGGATGGATGGATGGATGAATGGATGGGTGGGTGGGTGGGTGGATGGGTGGATGGATGGATGTATGGGTGGATAGTTGGGCGGATGGGTGTGTGGATGGATGGGTGGATGGGTGGGTGGATGGATGGATGGGTGTGTGGATGGGTGGATGGGTGGAATTGGGTGGATGGATGGATGGATGGATGGGTGTGTGGATGGGTAGGTGGATGGATGGATGGATGGGTGGATGGGTGGATGGATGGATGGGTGGATGGGTGGGTGGATGGGTGGATGGATGGATGGGTGGGTGGTGGGTGGGTGGGTGGGTGGATGGGTGGGTAGATGGGTGGGTGGGTGGGTAGGTGGATGGATGGATGGGTGGATGGGTTGATGGGTGGATGGGTGGATGGGTGGATGGGTGGATGGAGTGGATGGATGTATGGGCACTTTGTCAAAGGACGCCTTCCCAATACCAGACAATAAATAAACTATACAATATAAATTGACAACATGCATCACTGATATAGATGTACATACTGTAAATAATAACACAACAAATACTTACGATCATTGATTTAGTGGTTGAAAATAAATTAGGCCTTTAGGGATTTTTGGAAACATAGAGGATGTGAACAGGGCCTAATATAGAATGAATATCTAAATAACATTTCTGATTCACTGGCGTTTAGACAGGAGATTTATTTGGGGCCGAGAATGGTATAGGCTGGGTACAGGCGGTATGTTTATGTGCCCCTGCGTCCCTCCCCCCTCTCTCTCTCTCTCTCTCTCTCTCTCTCCCCCCTCTCTCTATCTTTCTCTCCTATCTCTCTCCCTATCTCTCTCCCTCTCTCTGTATCGATTTCTCGCCATTCTCTTTCCCATTACATGCATTTATCTCATGCCGTTTTCTCCCCTCTCCCCAACACACTAAAGACATTGGAGACAAATACACGAATTCACTTCTGAAGTAAGTTTAAATAAGAACATTTTATAGAAGTATTGAAGAAGAAAAAAAATCGATACATAAGATTGTTTCATCATGTTATCATATTATTTAATATTATTTCGTTCACTAAAAATAACACAATATGTACACCATTCAAATATACAGTTGAATAAAACAAACCCCCAAAAATACAAAACCAAGCATTCACAACATTGTTAAAACAGTAAAGTGAGGATCGGCGTTAAATATAGAAATTCTTAGTCGTGCCGGTGTGACCGCGTAGAATGTAACCCGCACCGATCGTCCGATCGAGAGCGGACGATCGGTGCGGATTTTATCCGCGCAGAATGTCCGTGTCGGACATTCCGTGCGCGCCTCAAATGTCTGACGGACAATCTGTGCTGAAGAGGTCTCGCACCAATAGTCCACCTGCCGCACCGAATGTCCGTACTCTAGTCCACACGTATACATAGTCAAAACAAACAGGGATATGCTCTCATATCCCTGATACAAGTATAATTATACCTAATGAATGAAGCGATTGCAAAATAAATGAAAATAACATAAAACCTCACTATTATATCAGAAATATTAGTAACTGAAAGAAAACATTTACGGGCAATCTTGACAACATCGGACTGCAAAAATATGAATAATTATGCATCCCGAAATCGTTAAATCAGTAAATCAACATATTAAAGTCGTTAACATGCAAAAAGTGCTATAACACCAATAAGTGAACCAGTTAGTAGCAATGAGGCAAAGTGGTCTTGTGGATAAGACTGATCGCTTCACAACGCAATGTATGTATGTACTCGGGTTCGACTCCCAGCTTCTTCTTTATACCTCATGTTTTTTTTAAATTTTTTTTTCGTTACCCCATGATATTGACGTGTCCATCTCCTTTTTTTTAAAGGGGACACCCCCCCCCCCACCTCCTCAGCAAAGGAGAAAATAACATTTGATACTCTTTCTTTAACAAGCGACTCTCTGAATTAGTTAGAATACGTCTTTTGCTACATCTACAACAATAAGTATCAATATGAAAAAATACATGAAGATTATCAGTGTGACACATTAGTCTAGTGGGTAGGCAAACGCCTTGCAACTGGAAGGTATCGGGTTCGACTCCCAGCTAGTGCTTTTTTTATTTTTTTATAAATCTTTGAAAAAGAAAAACTGATGTTGGAACCCATTTTCATCTCACTCAAAGTTTGGTGTGATAAAATAATTATTGTTGGTGTTGTTGATATATGGGAAAGGGTTCCAAATCACAATATGTCAATGGATTCCTCAAAAAAAACTTGAAAAAGGGCCTATGGTGAGGGGGAGCAGCTGAGTGTAGGAAAAAACTGTAATGGAGCCCCTTGGGGGGGGGGGGTCTTTTTTTGGGGGGGGGGGGTCTTTTTTTTTGGGGGGGGGGTCTTTTTGGGGGGGGGGGGGTCTTTTTTTTTTTTTTAGCTGGCGGTCGTCAGCTAGCTGGCGGTCGTCAGCTAGCTGGCGGTCGTCTGGCGGTCGTCAGCTAGCTGGCGGTCGTCAGCTAGCTGGCGGTCGTCAGCTAGCTGGCGGTCGTCAGCTAGCTGGCGGTCGTCAGCTAGCTGGCGGTCGTCAGCTAGCTGGCGGTCGTCAGCTAGCTGGCGGTCGTCAGCTAGCTGGCGGTCGTCAGCTAGCTGGCGGTCGTCAGCTAGCTGGCGGTCGTCAGCTAGCTGGCGGTCGTCAGCGTAGCCGGTGGCCGGTAGCGTTAGCCCCAAAGCCATGTCCAATTTTTAAACTACATTCAAGAGTCCCTTATTGCCAGGTTAAACAAGTTTTTTACATTTTCAGTACTATTTACATCCATTTATTCAATTTGTACACTCCCATGCTATCCTTTTCCAGTCTGTAAACAACTTTACAACATGAATTCAATGATGGGCAAGGTTTTACTCCTCATATGAAAGCGCCCAAACTTCGCGAGGTGAAACAAAGGGTCTTTCAATTCAAGTCTATTCAAGCCCAATATGGGCTAACTGGCCTGCATACCCGAGCAGAATCATTTTGTGCTCGACAAAGACACACAGCCTTGGGTCAAGAGGTCCATTATTATTATTTGTTTTAGTTATATTTTTTCATTGACATTATACTATTAAATATCAGGAATATTGGATGCTCATTTTCAAATACAGTCCAGATTGCCGAGCAATGAATTATCTCATGCTTCTTGTCCAAAAACCATATCTAACTGGTTTTTAAAACGGTATCATTTTAATTTCCATTTCCCAGCATTATTTTGAACTGTCCCGAAATCGCTTTCCTTTTTTTAAATGAGACTACAGCCCCATTCTATCCTTTTTCTATGGGGATATTCAAAGTGCGTGTCCTCCATGCAGACAAGGAGAAAGACCTTCTCAGTACCTTTATGGACAATACATCAACATAATGCGGTCATTGTTGCAATGTCAGGAATGCTATTATTACCTCTTATGTAATCCTCGCAATTGACAAAAATATTCCGTCAATGAAGGGAGGGTCGGGTTTTTTTCTCCAACTCATTTATTGATGCTGCAGGTGCAAGCTATTGAACACAGAATCGAATAGCCAAGCTTCCCTATTCATTTGTGCCCTGTTACAGAATTCGTAGCATATCCTAAATTGAATAGATCCGTGTTCTGTTCATTATGCTATGTCAGGGCAGTGGCCTATTGTCATATCACTTGAAGTTTAAGTCAGCAGATTGCAAAATAAATGAAAATAACATAAAACCTCACTATTATATCAGAAATATTAGTAACTGAAAGAAAACATTTACGGGCAATCTTGACAACATCGGACTGCAAAAATATGAATAATTATGCATCCCGAAATCGTTAAATCAGTAAATCAACATATTAAAGTCGTTAACATGCAAAAAGTGCTATAACACCAATAAGTGAACCAGTTAGTAGCAATGAGGCAAAGTGGTCTTGTGGATAAGACTGATCGCTTCACAACGCAATGTATGTATGTACTCGGGTTCGACTCCCAGCTTCTTCTTTATACCTCATGTTTTTTTTAAATTTTTTTTCGTTACCCCATGATATTGACGTGTCCATCTCCTTTTTTTAAAGGGGACACCCCCCCCCCACCTCCTCAGCAAAGGAGAAAATAACATTTGATACTCTTTCTTTAACAAGCGACTCTCTGAATTAGTTAGAATACGTCTTTTGCTACATCTACAACAATAAGTATCAATATGAAAAAATACATGAAGATTATCAGTGTGACACATTAGTCTAGTGGGTAGGCAAACGCCTTGCAACTGGAAGGTATCGGGTTCGACTCCCAGCTAGTGCTTTTTTTATTTTTTTATAAATCTTTGAAAAAGAAAAACTGATGTTGGAACCCATTTTCATCTCACTCAAAGTTTGGTGTGATAAAATAATTATTGTTGGTGTTGTTGATATATGGGAAAGGGTTCCAAATCACAATATGTCAATGGATTCCTCAAAAAAAACTTGAAAAAGGGCCTATGGTGAGGGGGAGCAGCTGAGTGTAGGAAAAAACTGTAATGGAGCCCCTTGGGGGGGGGGTCTTTTTTTTTTGGGGGGGGGGTCTTTTTTTTTGGGGGGGGGGTCTTTTTGGGGGGGGGGGGTCTTTTTTTTTTTTTAGCTGGCGGTCGTCAGCTAGCTGGCGGTCGTCAGCTAGCTGGCGGTCGTCAGCTAGCTGGCGGTCGTCAGCAGCTAGCTGGCGGTCGTCAGCTAGCTGGCGGTCGTCAGCAGCTAGCTGGCGGTCGTCAGCTAGCTGGCGGTCGTCAGCTAGCTGGCGGTCGTCAGCTAGCTGGCGGTCGTCAGCTAGCTGGCGGTCGTCAGCTAGCTGGCGGTCGTCAGCTAGCTGGCGGTCGTCAGCTAGCTGGCGGTCGTCAGCTAGCTGGCGGTCGTCAGCTAGCTGGCGGTCGTCAGCGTAGCCGGTGGCCGGTAGCGTTAGCCCCAAAGCCATGTCCAATTTTTAAACTACATTCAAGAGTCCCTTATTGCCAGGTTAAACAAGTTTTTTACATTTTCAGTACTATTTACATCCATTTATTCAATTTGTACACTCCCATGCTATCCTTTTCCAGTCTGTAAACAACTTTACAACATGAATTCAATGATGGGCAAGGTTTTACTCCTCATATGAAAGCGCCCAAACTTCGCGAGGTGAAACAAAGGGTCTTTCAATTCAAGTCTATTCAAGCCCAATATGGGCTAACTGGCCTGCATACCCGAGCAGAATCATTTTGTGCTCGACAAAGACACACAGCCTTGGGTCAAGAGGTCCATTATTATTATTTGTTTTAGTTATATTTTTTCATTGACATTATACTATTAAATATCAGGAATATTGGATGCTCATTTTCAAATACAGTCCAGATTGCCGAGCAATGAATTATCTCATGCTTC